GGGAGTGCCGGCAGTCCAGCGACGGCTTGGACAGAAGACTCTCGAAGCTGGAGGGAGTGTGCGGACGTTTCGACTCTTTTTCAGACAGCCTGGTGAGGATCAAGGAGGGCCTGAACCGACATGTGTCTGGGCTCTGGAGCTGCGTTAATGGACTCAACGTCACCGTAACGTCTCAAGGAGATCACATCAACAATATCCAGAACGTCCAGCTGGTGAACGTCCACTCAGACATTAACAGACTGAACTCTTCAGTGTTGGACTTGGCCAAGGAGTTCCACAGTTTCATAGAGCAAGACTTCATGGGTGAGTCGCAAGGGGACCAAGGGCATGGAATTTGACTTTTGGAGAAGAGATCCTCAAAAAGGGAGGCTAGGTCTGGGGAAAAAAGACCAAAGAAAGAATTCAAACTGTCATCTTGAGAAGCATGTACTTAAAAAGTCTGCAATATGTCTGAAAGAGGAGTTTTAGTAAACATGAGGGTGAAAGGCTCATCCTGAGGCATCGCAATGTCTTAGCTTTGTTTGGCTTAGTTTAGAAATATCCTTAGAGAAAATGCTAAAGAAGATTTTCAGAAGTTTCCCAGCTGCGATGTCTCATTAAACATTATTCTCTCCTAGGTCCACCTGGTCTACCGGGCCCCCGTGGAGAAAAAGGCGAGAGTGGAATCCAGGGTCCCATCGGATCCCAAGGGAGGGTGGGACCTCAGGGCAGAGAGGGCAGGCAGGGACAAGCTGGACCCCCAGGTAAAGACAACAATATTTGTTTGTTTTTTGTAATTTCATTACTTTCAGATCTTTGTCTCGTCACATATACTAGGGAAATATTCTCATAAGATTAAAATAAAGTTAGGGTTAGAAAGAATGCAAGAAACAGCTAGAATGATTTTTTTGGATGATGTACTCACTGTTTTTATCTTTCATCTTACTCCTCAGGTCTCAGAGGTGAACAGGGTATGTGTTGATCTGACTAATCAGCAGATGAAAGCAATTTTTACTGTGTGACCTTTATTTCATCCCTAATTCTACTCTCTTGTTTACTCCACCGTGATCAGGACTTGCAGGGTCTGATGCCCACGTGCCACGCCTTTCTTTCTCTGCGGCACTGACTCGACCCATGAGAAGTGCAGGAACCATTGTGTTCAACGAGATCTTTGTCAATGAAAATAACTCCTACGATCCCAAGACAGGTGAGCCTTAGTTCAGTCACAAAATCAGTACTCCAATTTACCTAAAGTAAAAGTTGTTATTTTTTATGTAAAACCTACATTAGCTGTGACAAGTAGCAACTAATGTAATATTCTTCTTATAAATATGTTATGTAGGTAGTAGGTGTTTTTGAGCGATGAATTTGCACATCAAAGTGTTTTTCTGAACTGTTTTTTTGACACAAATGCTTTCACTAAGAACGAAAACATGATAGGTGAAGTTGATTTTCTGAGCTTCCACACAGCGAATGAAGGCATCAACCAATCACGTTTTGCATAACTGGATCTCATCTTCAAATGTACAGTTTAGTAGTTTAGCCTTAGTTGGAGTTGTGCCTATATTTATAATAGTACAATAACATAGAGGCTTGTTGTCCAAATTTAAATGTGAGCCTTTATTATTCCTTTTAACTTAGAAAAAGGCAGTGAATACCAGACCATCTCTTTCTGTTTTTCTTTCTGCACACGGCCCCTTATCCAACCTGCAAATATTATTTTTCATCAGAAGAAAAAGTGCTGGAGCGGCATTCTGTTGTGCTCCGTCAGCCCTATTCCCCTGAAATTGACCTTCAAAGTTCATGAAAATTACTCAATAAACAATTCTACATGACAGCAAATGCACAATTTTTAGATTAAATATGATCTGCTTCCCTCCTCCAGGTTACTTCACAGCTCCAGTGAGTGGGAAGTACTTCTTCAGCGGCATCCTCACGGGCCACAAGAACATGAAGATCGAGGCCGTGTTGTCCAAGTCCAACACTGGCGTGGCCCGTGTGGACTCAGCCGGATATCAGCCTGAAGGCCTGGAGAAGCCCATGGCCGAGGCCAAACACATCCCTGGAGCTCTGGCTGTCTTCAACATCATCCTGCCCATGGAGGTCGGGGACACCGTCTGCATCGACCTGGTCACGGGCAAACTGGCATTCTCCTCGGAACCGTTGACCATCTTCAGTGGGATGCTGCTGTACGAGACCATCTGATTGGATCGAGTCCCATTATAATCAGTCTCTCTGGGGGAAACTTGCAACATGAGAGCATTGTAGTTGGACTCAAAAAGAGCCACTGCCTGAGCAGTCAAAGAGACTGAAATAGCTGGACTGAATGAATTCAGCAAGGAAAGAAATACGTTATAATTTTACCTTACGTGCTATGAAGGAAGGACAACAAAAAGTTGTTTCCAACCACAATCATTTTGGTGTGTCTCAAAGCTTTAAGGAAACTATTTGTGCAAAGAGCCATTGTGTTTTTTATTCTATGATGTGTTGTCTTTAGAAAAAGGCCACTGAAGAGTTATATTATAATTACATATTTCACGCTGTTCTTTAAACTTGAATTCTTCCCTGATTCCAGCAAGATAGCCTTCAGGTCTTTCTTGTGTCAATGAGAGGACAAAGGGTCGTAATGAAAAAAGATTAAAGATGTGGACGTCTTTCTGCTTTTATGTGTAATCTGCCCACAGCATATCACATGTTCAGAGGTCATTGCATACCATTTGTTCCTGTTTATAACATAGTTTATTTTTCTCCATGCTCACAGTTTCACTTTGACAAGCAAATTCCCAGAAACACAACACTGACTGCCAATTGTTTTGGAAAACATGCACAGTTCAAACCACTATTCTTTAGAAGGAAGTGCACAAATTAAGTCACTGACAGTTCATCCTAGAAAACCACAGGATTTTATAGATCCTATATCAGCAAAACAATAAGCCCATTTTAGGACATCAGCTATGCCCAGAGAAGAAAGGAGGAAAGTGGACAGGGGGAAGAATGTCTTTTTTTTGTACCTCTGTCCTAATAAGGGCCATCTTAACTCGGTGGAGGATCAAGTCGTTGAAGTTATGAGGCTGTTACTATCATTCTATCTTACTGTGGAATTCTTGTGTAAAGCTAAGAATAACAAACAATGAAACTGAACCCTTGTCTCTATGCAACAAATCCCATGTCTTCCATGAATACACACACTTCCTGCCTTTAGAAGTCTTATTAAAAATGTCTCCAGAAGGAAAAATGTGCCCAATATCAAGTTCGTATATATTTTTGAATGGAATTTAAAAGGAATATTGCACATTTTGTAGACAATACAACAGATTGCCTTATATCTGATTACATGTACCTTACGGTGGATAATACATTTTCCTTATTCAGTGTGGGAATGTTATTTTATGGTTCAATGCATTGTATAACCCCGAAGGAATGTAAATATTTTTCAGCCTGTATCATATTTGTATGAGTTACCACTTCACAATACATATTGTGTATGTTTTGTATGTTTTTGCCACAAGTGTGCCTCAAATACAGACACCCAACATGTTTTACACATCTGATGTCAACAGTCTCACTTTATCCTCTTTGTGTTCCTTTATTAAATGAGCAAGGATGTGCCAGGTTCAACTCTCCTCTCAAATCTCTTTCTCTTGACTTCAGTAGGTTAATTTTAGCTCAAGACTTCAAGGAGATGATTAAAAAGTGTTTTCTTATGCTGCACTGCAGTGACACCTTGTGTTCAGCTTTATGTTCCAAATGCTGTTGCTGAAGAACCTTTTAAGAAGTCCCTTGAAGGAAGTATTTTAAGGAGTATACCTTGTCTCTCACATTGTTTACGCATTCATTACTTATCAATGGGAATTGCAGGTCTCTTTATTAACCTCTCTGTGCTTAATAGCTGTCATTTCAGTGTCACTCACACAGACAAAGTCATCCCCAGGACTATGTAAAATGATCCATGCACCAGTGGTCAAAGGCAAAGAACCAGTCATTCTACAGTAGGCTACTTAAAGATGTAGGGTGCAGATGAGATGGGATGTATATAAACATGTTTATTTTTGGTAGTTCTGTGTGGTTCCAGGAAGACTAGCATCACTTTGTGGAAGCTAATAAGGGTCCAAATAAGGCATGACAAATATTGATTTCTGTCCTGTCAGAAAAATCTGATTGTGGATGATGATATCGTAAACTGTATCAAATTGATGATTCCCAACAAGTGGCACTTCTGAAATGTAACATCTAGGCAGAAGTGGAAGAGTTCAGATATTCTATTCAAGCAAAAGTATTAACATCAATGTGTAAAAATACTCTGTTACAATTCAAATACCTGTATTTATGTTTTACCTAAGTAAAAATGCATAGGTAGTAGTGGCAATCAAGTACATTTGAAATATTTTTGGACTCAAATATATTATATCGCATGATTATATTTGTTGATCCATAAATGTGAAGTAATTTTATTTTGCAACTGGTAAAAACCTAACTTCAATTAATTGGATATGAATCCATGATAGATAGTACATTGTCATGTATTAGTTTTATTTCGTTTTAATAATAATTTAAACTTGAAAATTAACTAGTAACTAATGTTGTCATATAAATGTAGGGACGTAAAAAGTTTGCTTTAAAAATGGAGTGGAGTAGAAACAAAAGCATTATAAAATGCAATTACTCAAGTATCCTTCATGTGCGTGAAAATTGTAATTAAGCACAGTACTTCACAAAATGTAGACAGTTACTGCCAACACTGCATTTAGATAATAAAGTGTGGCTGGTGTCAACCCTAATCCATTATGTTGAATGAATATAATTAAAATGTGTTTATGTATATTTTTACTTTATCTATATGTTAAATATGCTCTATGATATGCGTTAGGTAATGTACATATTGCATTGCCAGTCGAATATCCAGCCACAAGCTTCTTATTACCGAGCTCATGTCCAGCACTTGAAAGCATCATCAGACACCACCAAAACACAACATATCCGGGATTCCCACGCGGGCCGTTGCCATGGAGCTGAGTTTGTTTCTATTCTCCGGCTTCCACAGAGTGAAGGGTTGTGCTTTAAAGTAAAGTAAGGACTGTGTAGAAAATGTCGGCGTAACTCAGACTGTCCTGGATGTGCTGGGTACACGAACGAAAAAGTGCAACGACTTTTCGAGTTTTAAGCACGGTAAGAAGCGCGTGCCAAACAAGCACACTTAAACAAGCTAACGCTATTTACCTTCAAACTAGCTTAAGGTGTGCAATTGAGTTGTTGTGTATCATAAGTCAAGGTTTATCACGTTACATTGGCTTTTTGCGTATTTGTATGCCGCCAAATATTATTTGTATGCGTTTAAGGCGTTACTTTGTCTTGTTCTAAATAAAAGTGTAACATTAAGGTCAAAACAGGTCAACGGGTAAGGGGTTATACGGAATTAGATGTTAATTTACACAGGTGACGTTTACAATCATATCTATTTGAATTAAGAAAATTGTAAATAAGTAGCTAGTAACTAGCTTACATACAATGTGGTGTAACGCCACTGTATGTGCAGAGGTGGGACTAAGTACTCAGATATTTTACTCAACGAAAAGTAGCAATAATACAGCGTAAACATACTAAGCTAGAAGTAAAAGTCTTGCATTAATTGTTAAGTAACAAATTGTCTTAAGTAGAAGTAAAAGAGAAAAAGTATTATTTAGCATCAATGTACTTTAAGTACCGAAAGTAAAAGTACTCGTTATGCAGAATGGCCCATTTAAGCACCATACTGTATGTTTTACATTTTTGTATTATAAGTATTTATGCATTGATGTGTTCATCACTTCAATGTTGCTCTTTGTAAAAGTGGGGTTTAACTTGCAGAAGTTACTAGTTACTTCTGCAAAGTAACAAGTAACTACATATTTAAAATAAATGATGTAGTGGAGAAAAAGTAAAACATTGGCCTAAATGTATTGGAGTAAAAGTATAAAGTACCATAACGTGAAAATACTCAACTAAAGTACCTCTATTTTATTACTTAAGTACATTACTTAAGTACATTACTTTAGTAAATGTTCTTTACATTTCACCTCTGGTAATATCTGAGTAAAACTGAGCTGAAACTGCAATTTAGCCGTAAGTTAAAGTAGAAAAAAAACTTTAACTTACGGTAAAATATTGTACTATATTAAAAAAAGATTACGGCCATTTAACTTTAACTTCCTATGTGTATATAAATATATTTATTTTACCTTTCTTTTGCTCATTCTCAATCATGTTATTTATAATTGTTATAATCTTTTGATTTTCTTTTTTAATGTCATAATATTCTTTAATGGAGCAATTGTCCCAAATCCAAGTTTCCTTTACCTGAAAAAAGTGTTCTGATTCTGAAAACGAGTTTTTGGTGAAGTAACGTGAACATGGAAAATAATACGATGCTAAAACAAAGCAACGCAGGTTTGATTTACTGACTTTCTGCTATGCTGTTTCACAGTCTGTTGTTCAGTGACACACAACATGTGTGCTCCGAGGTTTGATTTGTTAATCAACTATAAAAACCCATTGTAAAAAATCAGCCTGGATAATACTGACTTTTAAAAAAAACACACATTTCTTCCGCCCTTGAACAGAAGCTTGTTTGTCTGCATTTTTGTCAGGAAGTCATATGTCTTTGTTTTTCTTTTAAACCAGCCCCTCTGACACTATCATGAGTGGCAGAGTCGCAGAGGGCCACCTTCAGGTCCTACAGATTTACCGCCTGCTGCAGTGCGTCCATGAAGGGGATAAGGCTCACATCGAGAAGATGGTGAACCTCGGGGTGAAGAACCTCATCAATCTCACTGAGCCACACGAGGGCACAGGGGCGCTTCACGTGGCAGTGTCAGCCAACAACCAGGGTGATGTGCCTCTTCTTTACTCAGTGACATTCAGTGGTGGAAGTGGAACATATAAGAGTTTTCAGATCCTTCACTTAAAGGTGGGGTAGGTCATTTTGGAGAAACCAGCTCGAGTGCGCTAGAATTTGAAAGCATACAACCGAAAAAGATCTGCCCCTTCCTTACAGAGCCCCTCCTCCAACACACACGAACGTGCACATGACCAATGAGGGCACGAGATAAGTTTGTGCACAGATGGAAGGCTGACAGGCAGGTAGGCCATCCAGATATTTTAGCCGCCGGCTAAAATGATTGGTCGTGCATTTTACAGCACCACGGCTTCAAAAGATGATATTTTTCTATGTATTTTTTGTCAAAGCACTTAAGATATTCATTGCTATCGGGATGTTAAGAGCATTCCATGGAATATGACAAAAAGTGTATCTCGAGCCGTTTTCTCAAACTTACCTACCCCACCTTTAAGTAAAAGTATTAATACCACTCTGAAAAAATACTCTCATACAAGTTGAGGTATGCAACAAAATGTTCCCTTTCATTGTTTTATGATAAAAGAAAATGTTTTTATATTGGTCTGACACCATTATCTTATATATCCATATATATATATATATATATATATATCCATATATCTTATTATGCATATTGCTTTATGTTGCACTTTACTGCTGCAGAACTGTCTGGTTTGCTCATTTGAACTCCCTTGTACACGGTTTGATGATTTCATCAAAATAAATACTTCATATTTCTCTGAAATCATTATGTTTGTAGCTTTGTCACTGTTAAAATCATGTTTCTCACACGTTTCACAAAAAAACCCAGAGGAAAAGCGCTGCTTTCCGCTTCGTGATAATGTATTTTTGTGAAAATCTAAGATGTTTAAAAAATAGTTAATTTATATTAAGAAGTAGGAAAGTTGTCTCAACCCCTAAAGAAACAATGAATTATTTAGTTAATAAGAAAACATTTTATTAATGATGTTTGTTTTTTACAAGACAGGAAAAGCAAAGAGTGTTTTTTTTGTTTTTCTTGAGTTTATTGATTACATCTTAATCTTCATCCAAGGCATTTTTGCTGTACAGTAGCTTCAGTAATGTCCTAATTACAAAAGTGTGTTTACATGCTAATAAGTGTTAGTAGTTTGTAAGATGAATCTACCAGGCCATAATATGTACTGCAAACTAAAAAGTCATGTTTCAAAGTGACTTTATTATCCTGACTGTTTCTCTTCCCCACATGACTCCTTACAGACTTGGTCAGCTTCCTTCTCTCCCAGGGAGCACACCCTAACATCCAGGACAAAATGGGCCGCACTCCGGCGATGCTGACTGCAGAGCACGGCAATGATGTCATCATGACACTGCTGATCCAGAACAACGCTAATCTGAGACTCCAAGACTCAGAGGGAAAAGGTGAGCAATACTTAGTACTCACCTTTATATTGTAAGAAAGATTGATATTTATAAATGAATACAAAGTTTTATTTTTCTGATAATTTGTGGCAGACTTTAAGATCTCTAAGAGGGAAGCTCCAGTAACACAAAGGGGTCAAACGAAGCTAGTATAACATGTACTGTCATGTGCCCATACTTATCTGTAAACTACATTATACAATGCAAAGTGTCAGACAGGTGCGCAGAATTGACCTTCATTGTCAATAAGGTATATGGCTTTAATCCGAGAGGTAGATGAACAGCCCTTCCACTCATGTATTCTCATTTAGCTTCAAGTGTCGATTTCTCAAAGAGACGGGTTTCCATCTCAAGTTAAACCATCGGGTTCTTTGAATGCCTTGTCTTACAACTCATGAAAATGCATGGTGCTTCTGTTTACATATTGATGAGGAGATGGTAGCCTGGACAACTCCAATAAGAGAGTCTAAAGTTCTTCTTCAGGACCTTTTTTAAGTAGTTGTGATAATGATCCCAATTACAGTGTGTCCGGGGCATCGATTACTGCAAATGGCTCTCTTCGGAGAATGAGCTTCAGTTAGGAAGAAAAGTGTTTTTGCGTGTGCTTGTGTGCATGAATAATGATTTTTTTATAAGTACTGTAGTTTCTATGTGTATGTGTGTGAACAAATGTGCGCTTGTGTGAGACCGCATGGGTACACCTAATTACAGATCAACCCCTCATAGTGATCCGCTCTTGTGAAACATGCTGAGTAACCTGATATCCTGACTCCCAGAGGGCCGGTTCGGCCCGGTGTCAACACTCACAGACAGCCTCAGGCTGAGTCTCAATAGTTACACCTTTTCCTTTCTCAATACAGCGCAACAGTTATGGATTTGTTGGCCTAAACACACATAGACATATTGACACATTTAAAACCATGTTATTTTACTAGCTTACACCTTTAATCCTGCAAGCTAACAAGCCTGCAAGCTAACAAGCTCCGTTGTTCACCTAATACAACAATCTTTAAGTATATTAGATCTGAAAATGAACTGCTGTACTCTGCCAACATTTTTTATTATTATCATTTATTAAATCATTTAAAAATGTTTGGCACTCTTTTCTCTATTGGACAGTTTGGGTTGTGTCTACTCTAGGGATATCAAAATATTACATTTATCTGTAGCCAATACAATTCTAGGTAACAATATCATCGCAATATTTATAGTCAATTTCAATAAAAAAGAAAAAATGCTAGCGGTCAAATTCAGCTTTTACTTTTTGTCCTTTGAGTATTGCCTCTTTTATTGTCAAATCAATTACACTTGAAATATTAGCAAAGGGAGTTAGACAGAGACTTTGACCATAACTGTATATATATATTTATAAAACGGACAAGTCAAATCAAGCAATCTGATTGGTTCTTAGCCGTGATATACTGAGCGTATACCACGGGTAGAATTGTAAGTTACTTTTCACAACAAGTCAGTATCCCTCCGCGTCTGAGAAAAACAGTATACCGTTGGGCTGAAAAGAAGCATACTGGAACAAGAAAGCAGCGGAGAAGTAACGGGGCAGAAGCTGGGCAGAAGCCCTCCTTTTTGACGCAGCGGTCCAGACATAGACATCAAACGGCAAAACATATTCAGTGTGCAGTTCCTTTGGCATTAGGGCAGGGATATCTAGATAATTTTGAAGGTTTAACATAATTAATTGTGCTACTTTTAAAGCAAGCAACGATGTTTTCAAATCTGTAATCAAAGAGGTCCGCAAAAACGCTATCGACCAATCAGATTGCTTGATTTGACTTGTCAGTTTTATAAATATATTTAAATTTCTTCCGTTACGAAACAAACTTACAAAGCATAAAATGGAAACATTTGATTAATGTTCGGACCTCGGGGGGTCGTAACTATAGTATGGGAGGGATGGAATTGAGGCAGTGCCTATCTCCAGAAAAAAAAAGCACCTAAACTACGACATGCAGAGCTACGTGAAGAGCAGGTAGACCACTGGAAAAGTGCACCATTCAAAACTTCTGATGCGGGTCTTGAAACAAAGCAGAGAAATTATGGACCGTTAGTGGCCCACAGGTGCGAAAAGCTCTCTCCTCCAGAGCTACTGGAAGCCCAAATCTTCGGGGGACCGGGAGAAAGTGGAGCAATATTCTCGCCACGCCAAGCAACAGCTTCGAACAACCTCAACCTATACAAGTGCCAACGTAAGCCATGCTACTGATGCTGGACAGTTTTTCAGTGGATGCACAACAAACAGCAACATACACATTAATCGTTAAATAAACAGCCAAAGAATGGACTCAACGCTCTTCCTGTCTAATATGTTCCGCTTGCTGTAGTGGTTGTGTGCATAGCAACCACCCTTGCACTATGTTTCTGTGAGGAAGGCAACGGAGGGACTATTTTATTTTGAACATCATTATTTACAATAAAAAACTATTTAAATTAGAGTGTGTATTTTTCTTTCATATTGCCACACTTGGTAACCTCCGCTTCGCGTCGGGCCGAACCACGCCCCTTGCTGTGATATAATGAGCCCATATACCACGGGCCCTGTCGTGAGCTATTGCTTAAATATATATATATTATATATATATATATATATATAATATATATTATATATAATATTCCCTTTTAGGGCACTGGGTTATTTACTCAACACCATTTGGGATTTTTCTAAAATGTTCTCACTTATCATCATAACTGTTATATTGAAACAGCCTAGTTTACAATAGAACCAGGACACAATGATAAAGACAAATATTGTCCCTGTTTTTGTGCTTATACAGTTTATCGGCTAAAATGGACACCTCTTGACCAATTATTTAGATATATGTTGATTATAAAGATTCTCCTTGAGATGCGTTTTTTCAATCAGACATCTTTTTTCTTGACTCAATCCTCTATCTCTCACTTTAAATGCCACATTGGATGGCCACAGCAATGACCTGAGGCATTATGTTTTCTTATAATACTGGTTGGTTTAATACTTTATTCCTCATTGTTCATTCGGGACATTCTGCAGTCTGCTAACCGTTTGGACAGAGTGTTGCTAGGGTGTCCTTGATCACGGGACCATTTCCACTCATATCAATTCCCACAGAATGGGAAAGTCTGATATATTTAAACAACCTCAGCTGTGGCAAAGAACACATTATTTAGTTAACTCCATCCAAATATCTCAGGATCGCTGGAGAGAATTTCTCCAATGTGTCACAAGCGTCACTTTGGATCCAAAAGATGCAGTCATTACATTTTGCCCGTTCAAAAGTCAACATCGCACTGACCGACCGGTGACCTCTTTGTACCTCCATATAATTTAAATGCTAATTAATGATGGAATTCACACAAATGTCTAATAGAGAATACAATGAGAATAAAACATTTTGGGACAGACATGGATGACTGCATAACATCACTGGTTGGCTGAGAGACAATCATTCTATTTAATTACCCTCTGACACCTTTCTTATCTCACTTTAGGAGTGCATAATCACTGTATCTACCCACTGAGCGCCACACCCGCTGCGTG